TAATAATAATAATAATAATAATAATAACAACAACAACAACAACAACAACAACAACAACAACAACGTTACTATGGCACTTGTTCTTTATATTCTCCTGACTGCTTCTGCACAACCCATTCCTAGACAGGAATCAGAGCTAAAAGGTTTGTTTCTCTAATTCCTTCTCTTTTCTTCTGTTCACAGACTCTGTTCCATGGGATCACAATAATTGGGAGCATTTTGCTGTACTTAATTTTCTCCTCCATCTACAACGCTACCTGTGTCCTTTGTAACCATCCCACAAATCCCTACTGGATTATGGAGATGGCATTTTCAGAGCCAAACTTTTATTTCACAATCGTTATTGTACCAGTCACAGCACTTCTCCCAAGGTTTGACCATTCGTCCTTTTTCCTACCTGTTAGGGTATGAGGTCCTACTCAGTAACTAGATTACCAGACCAGGGATTACGAAGTTTGATTAAATGCTGTCCTGGGAAACAGAAAGGCTCATCTCCGTAGTATGGTTTTATTTAAGCAAGGTCTTAATCAGGTGTTGTGACGAAGGCAACCAGCACCACATAAAGAGACCCAGATGTGCTCTTTAAGTCTGACTTCCAGAGAAAGATCCCAGCAGACCTACCCTTACTAGTCTGCTTTTTTCCCTTTTCCCCACAAAAACTGCCAGCCAAGAACCAGTTCCTTGTTATAGCTGTCATTCTATGGAAGGGAAGCTTAAAATCCTTGACAGCCCACATCCTTTAATGCAGTCCAACTTTCTCCGTACAGTTTGAGGAAATTGAGTTGACATGTCTTGCTAGAACATAAAAGCTTTGTTGTGATGTGTAATGTCTTCCTTTTTTCTTTTTTGAGAAGGAACTCTTGAGTACTTCAACGAATAAACATGTTTCCATGTTATATAGCTAGTGTCACAGCTTAGACTTCTCCAACTGTCATATGGTCCTCAGAAATAGCACAAAGGTAGACTGTCTGCTTCCCCCCTTAACACCCATGGTCTAAGGGTTATGAAGAGAATTCCCTCTGGAAGTCTTATTCTTCACATGTCTCACTTTAATCTCTTACTAAAAAACACATATTGATTTGAGGGCAGAACATTTAAGCTTGTTTCCATAACATTGTGTTCCTATGAGTTTTCTGTAAAATGAGATGTCTTTTGCTATATTGTAAAACAGATATTCAGAATGAGGTGCCAACAGGAGTAGCTGCAGTATCAGAATGAAGCTTGAATGAAAGCATCCAGATGTATTTATAAATGTTAGTTTTTAGTATTAACATAAGCAAGCCTGGATAAACTTCAGACTTACTCAATTTTTCTTCTCCTCTCCTGGCACAACTATAAGAACAGAAGTTTCCTTTTCCTTTCATAGCTAACCATCACTGATATCCAAATCCAGACAAAGTGTGGGTACTACTATGTACGGTGCTGAAACAAGCCAACTTCAAAACTTAGTTTATGAAGCTGGCTTATTTCAAAAACCAGATGTAAATGGGCCTCAGGCACATATGGCTGTCCAAGCCATTTGGGACAACCAAAACTGTCAAATTTCTGATCTTGCTATTGCTGCTGATTCTCTGCTATTCTGCCACTGCACTTGCACCAACATTTCCCATGAGTCCCTGCTTTTGTCACCATTCCAGCTGTTACCAGTAACACTGTAGAGTTTATGCTGCCATTACTGCTTCTTCTGCAGCTTCTTCTTGCCAGAACCAAGAGGAACCTTCTGCACTTCCAAGGCTCTAGAATCAATTGCATTTGCTTTACTGTCTTGCAGGAAGAAATGGGGAAAAAATCCTCAGAAGCCACAGATCCCTTGAGTTAGTAGCCACAACAACAAGAACTGAGAATGGGCTCACCAAGAGCAGAAAGGACAGAAGAGTGATGGAGGACTTGGTAGAAGTAGTGACAATTTAACATTCCGTTCCTTGCAATCTTGACTGCACTAAGATTGCTGGAAAGGGAAAAGTTTCATATGCATGTGCGTGAATGTGCATGTACACACCTGTATATGTACTCCTTCATATATGTGTAGCCTCTAACCTATCACTGAGTGTTGCATGTGGCTCTCCTGGCAAAAAGATTGCTCCCCCAGCAATTAACCATAGGTAATATCAATCACAGATTAGGATTTCCAACATAAGGGGAAAGTTTGGATTTCTACTCCATGCCAATGACAGAGAAACAGAGCATGCCATTCAGTTGGCATAACAGTAAACCATTACTCATCCTTACATCAATATGCAAATAATGAATGGGAGCCAAAAATAAAGATCTGACCAAGGTACCATTAATCTATGTAACCTGTTATTTTCCCAAGGAATGGTAGTACAGTGGTACCTCGGTTCACGAATTTAATTCGTTCCACAATTCTGGTCGCGACCCGAATCAAATTTTCCCATAAGGTTCAATGTAAATACGGTTAATCTGTTCTGACCCCTCCGAATTTGGTTGCGACCTGATTTTGGTCGCGTCCCGAATCAAATTTTCCCATAAGGTTCAATGTAAATACGGTTAATCTGTTCTGACCCCTCCGAATTTGGTTGCGACCTGATTTTGGTCGCGTCCCGAATCAAATTTTCCCATAAGGTTCAATGTAAATACGGTTAATCTGTTCTGACCCCTCCGAATTTGGTTGCGACCTGATTTTGGTCGCGTCCCGAATCAAATTTTCCCATAAGGTTCAATGTTAATCCGTTCTGAACCATATGTTTTTTTTTTTTTAAACCGCAAAAATATGAAACAAAAT